CAAACCGGAGACTTCGCAATCACTTGCAAAGACTGGTCGTGTTTACAAGGAAAGTCTACTGGCCACATTTGGACAAGACCCGCACGGTCCCTCAGAAAAGCATTGAATAGAAGTTGTGTGTTTGGTCTTGATGTTGCAATTGGCACAGTGCTGTGAATGCGACCTTCTGAGGAAGCCTTTCGCATCCTTCCAGTGCTTCACTCGAACTGAAATCGGCACTGTGTACAAGCACTGAATACAGTACTCGAGCGTTTCGAGGTGCATGACTGCGCAACGCTGGCAGAATCGATGCACATGCGTGCAAACCATAGAAACGTTGCTACTCTGAGTTTCAGCACATATCAAATGTAATGTTATACCTGGCATATTGTTGATTTCTCTTTTTGTTTGGTTTGCTGTCAGTTAGGTGTTGGTTTGTTTGCTTTCTTGGTCTGGCTCAGCTGTCTCGAGCAATTCCGCAACAACTGAATGATCCGCGAACGTGTTGTGTGAGTGTGTGTGTGTGTGTTGCTTTTGGATAAACAGAGAACTTCTCTGTTTGATACAATGATCAGCTGAATTGGTTGTTTTTGTTCCTCCCCCCTTTTTTTTGTTGCTTGCTTGCGTTCACAGGGTTGGTTTTCGACCTGCGAAGGCAGGTTTCCGTGGGATATGTCTCTTTCCGTGACTGGCTTCCGCCAAGGTGCCTCCAGTTGCAGGCCGAGCCGCGCTGTGGCCTTTACCGCAGATTTGAGGGGTGGGCCGGAACCGTTGTCTCAGCCGCTGTTTCCCCGGAAGAAAGAGGAACCAAAAAAAAGTGCTGGAACCCTAAATGCAGAGAAGCTGCAAGTAGAGTAGAGCTTGGTGAGGGACTGGCACTGTCCATGCATACAACCTGTAAAGAATGACGCACACTCTTGAGGGATGGCCGCAGAGACCGCCAAAATAACATATTAGCAGCAACTTGTATACTTGTGACCCACGGTGTAGGCTAAGTCACGGGAAGCCCAGTTATTTTCTTTGTGCGATTTAGATACGATTTTGATATGATTGGAAAGCATGGTTTTGTTACGCCGGTTTTACGATATTTTTACGGATCAGGAAATTGGAATTTGTTTCAACAAAAAAAGTAAACTATTGGAAATCGTATTAAATTTGTATTAAAACCGTATGTTTGCGATTTTAATACGATTTCAATACGATTTCAATACGATTTGAATACGGTTTCTAATGCGATTTTAGTACGGCTTTTTGCACCCCCTGCTTTCAAGTGCATGTCCAATGTGTAAAAAGAACGTAACAAAAACAGACATGTTACAGGAGTCGTATTGAAATCGTAAATCCGAATCGAAACAAATTCGTAATGAAAACATAAAACTAAATATTCAGGAAAATGCTAGTTAGGCTGACAGCGTAGGTCACAATTGTATACCGTTCCTCTTCAAGTCAGGAAGCACCGGATCCTTGAACGCACTCTGCGCCACCCAAACGACATGATCAGTGCAGACACTTTTCTGGTTGACGAGTACAAGCAGTTGGCAATGGACATAGTACATGAACCACAATAGTAAAACGTGAAGCTTGCAAACCTGATGAGGTTTGTTCATTTGACTGACGTAAGCTCAAGACTGAAGAGGGTTGGCGGGATTCAGCTTTGTCTCGTATCACAAGGAAAGCAACATAGGATCACCTGAATGCGCAGCTGAACATGTGACTTGGTGGCTCCCAGCCATCCGGTTCCTTTTTAGCTGTTTACAGTTTAGTGGTAGTTTCCATTTAACCCACTAAAAGTCAAACGATCAAGTTTAAGCCTATACCTTTTCTAGGATTGAATCGGCATGGGATTGATGTTCAAGGGCGGTCGGAGCCGATTTTGCCCCACTCAGTCCTGCTTCGACCGAATCATCTCTCTACTTATCCGAATCAGTCTGAAGTGGTCCTGCTCTGTCGAGGTGGGGATTAGTTTACGCAGTTGTTGAGTGGCACCTGTTTTCCCTTGAAGTTTGTTGGCTTTCCCGCTATAGTCAACGCCAAAAAAGGTTTATGTTTTTCCATGAACTTGTTTTTCGGCGCGGCGGGGGGGGGGGGTTCTCTTCAAAATCTGTTCTACCAAGAAAGCGGGTGCCCTGGTTTCCTATGATCTTTTGTTTTTTTGTTGGGAGGAAAATCGAATAGTTACAAACAACATGGGTGCCCGGTTTTCCCAGGATTTGCTTCGAGGGAGGCTTCCTGTTCTGGACTCGGGTCACCTTCCAGCAGCCTGGGGTCAGGCCCTGGTGGCGAGGGGCTGGATCTTGTGGCAGCGGTCCTCCCAGGAGTTGGCCGACGCCTCAGTTCCGCCGCACCGCCCGGCTTGGGGTCCTTCGAAACGTCTTTGGTATCTGAGGCGCTCACTTCCTGAGCTCCGTTTCGGACTTTATACTTCATGGTTTGGAGCAATTGAGTGATAAACAACAAGCTTCCACTTTTTCTCACGAATCTACGCAGGAAGTGAGTCTTTGATATCTTAGGGTGGACGAAATGCTGTGGTTGCGAAATCCATTTCGCACCATCGTTCAGAATCCCTAATTTCTGATGATTCCCCGGTAAATACCAACCAACAATGGTTTCCCGTGGTTTCAAAGTGGTGCAGGTTAAATAGGCTAGCTGGTGGCTGGAAGGGAGTCGTTACAGCGCTTGGGGTGTCCAATTTGTCCTTTAAAGAGGGAGCTAAGCTACCAGGAGTTTGGTACGGACATGGTCTTATGGAACGGAACCTGACCATGGTTTTCAGTGTACCCCCTTTTTTGCGGGCCATTGGGAGGTCTTTGAGCCCTATTCTATGGCGAGAGCGGTTCCACCGATCTGAGGGTTAAACAAGCTCATCATGAAGTTTCTGCGCTTGGCTTCCCTTATTTCAGGGTCTGGAACTGCAGTGACAGTGGAAGTTGCCGATGGAAGAACTGCCAAGCATTGCTTGAGGTCTCAGGATTTCTATCATTCGAAGGTTGATTGAAGATGAAGCGGAATCTGCGCATGGTATCATATGAATTTTGGTTAGTTTACCCCAAACCCCAAACACATGACCAAGTTCTGTGCTATGTTATTTTGTCATCCAAGCACTTGTTTTGGAGTGACCAGTTTTGCACTGTCCGGTCCGAATGCTCTGACTGATCGAGTCCAAGTTAAATGCGCGCCCGACGCTTGACATGTTACAGCAGGATGAATTAGACGGCCTGCCCCGCTTGCAATGACCAACACAAGCAGGACGGACAGAAGGCTTTAGTATGGGCAGTCAGCCGACCTGCTTTGATCTGGGGAGATGGACTTGCAGCAGGATGCGCTTTGAGTGAACATCCCTCATTTTATTTACAATAAGTCTCAAGATTGGACTCGTTGCAAGTGGTTGGCTGCTACTCGTATTGACTGTATGATGGCACCAAAAGAACTAACATGTTTGCCGTCCCCGCCCTGTCACATTGAGGCTGACACATCGAAGTCCATCGCAAGATGCGAGAGGCGCGCATCGGCGCTCTACCCGTCCCAGTGATTCCATTTGCCGGTATGGTGATCAGCGGAATCCATCATAGAGAGAGCGTGAACATGGCAAGATGAAACACTTCATTAGATCTGGTTGTAAGCAAAATGGTAGCAAGGGACTTGTTTATCTCCGCAGACCTCAATCTGCCATCAGCTTGTGACATGATCACCTCGGTGCCTCAACAAGCGCAGACCTTAACTTGTATACTTCCGTTCTGCGTGAAGCCATGCCTGACGGCTTTGTCAGTGTATTGCGGCGGTGTGTGTGTGTGTGTACGATAGATATATATATATATGTATATACAGTGCACATGTATGTATATTATTATATATGTCACATACATATAAATATGAATATATATATATATATATAATTATATATACATGTGGCAAGCTGCACACAGCCCGGGTGAGAGGCAATGCTTTCCGCCTTGCCGCGGCGTGGCGCGGTGCAGGTATTTCGGTGGGCTCTCCAAGGCCCAGGAGTGCTCACGAGCTACTCGCTGCGCTGTTGTGGGGATGTTGGGGTTCAAAGGGAAACCTCGTTTGGGGGGCCAGCCCTTTTTGGGTATACCTAGACTCTCCATTTCCCTTTAAAAATGGGGGTCATTACCCAAATGAAAGGGGTCATGACCCCATTTTTTAAGGGTCATGGAGAATGCAAATGAACAAGCACCTGTGTTCATTTCCCCGTTTAGAGACAAACCCATGCGCATTGGTTTTGGCTAGGAGCGAGCAAAATCCTCCCACGTGAGCCCAAACCAATTCTGGGGCTTATTGCCTGGGTCTGCTTTGGGAATGCGATTTGGAGCGGGCCCGGCCCTAGTTTTTTTTTCGTTGGTGGAATTGGAATTACGACTCGGCACCATGAAGTCCTGTTCGATCGTCTCACTGCAACGTGCGGCCCAGGCGATGCCTAGGTCTTTGTTTCATGGTCACAGCTGCGTATGGAGTGTTCACTGCCCGCCCGACCCTTTCTCAGACTCGACCTTGCCGTGGACTGTACCATGACAATGTTGGAGGTTCATTTAGGCAGGTTGTTCGTGAACTTGGCAGTGCAGCCTTCAATACCAACGTCATTGCCTCAGTTTGGCATAGCCCACTATTCAAACCAGCGCAGTTCATGTGTTGCTTTGTTTGTTCTGCAAGCAAAGGAGCAAGCACTATATGAGTATAAACATTTTTACAACCACAAAGCTTTACAAGCCACTTGCATTAGCAATTCGCCTTTCGTATTTGAGGCGTGCATTATTGAATGGTTTGATTGAACATGTGTGTTCAAGAAGCCGATTTCAATATGAGCTCAGCTCATCATACTCGGCAAGGGCTGAACGTTACGCGTGGGAATTGGCAGTTTCACACCAGGTCCAAGAAAGTAAGTAGCAGCCGCCAACTAGTTTACCCTCTCGATTTACCAGCAAGCCATCCATGAATTTTGGAACAGCTCAAAATGGAATCACACATGAGTCACACTCCCTGTGAACTGGCTACACCTTTTGAGCCCTGTGTCGTCCGGAAACTTCGCCGGCGAAGACGAGCCGGCAATGCGCCATGGACGGTGGGCTCCGGCGGCTGCAGCGAGATCTAAAGCTGATCCAGGACGGAGCTGCAGCGAGACGTTTCGGCGGGTGGTCTAGGTGCCCCAGTAGTTTTACCATTTCTTTTTTTGGGGAGGGTTCCCTTACTAAAATAGACGGAAAAAAGTTGGGTACCCTTGTTCTAACCTCTCTACTGGAGGACCTAGTGGTCAAAACGCCCATTTGCGAGGGGCCTTGCCAGGCCCCAACCAGAAAGAACCCTGAACATTCCTTAACCTGTTAGTATGCGGAAGCTAGCTTAAGGCTGAAGGTTCTCCTTGCGTAGGCAAGGTAAGGGGCTGAAATGCCGAAAGATTGATTTTATGCATTGTTTGGCCCCAAACAGATTGCAAGAATCAATTATTTAGATCCCCCGCTTCAGGGGCTCGAATCCTAACTGTGCCACTTTTCCGGGCGGTCGAATTCTTTTCCGATCGATCGGATGGTGGCTTTTCAGGCAGAGCCCTGCGGGGTCTACGTCACCACGCGCGGGGATGACCTCGCGCTACTCGATGCCCTTGTGCTGGGGCCGCAGGACGTCGATGCGTCGATGCCGTTGGACGTTGAGAGATACCATGGGAGCCATAGAGAGGAGTTGGGTGTGTCTGATTCTTGCATTTGCTTCAGAATATATGTTTATTTCCCCTGTTGGTGTTAAAGGAAATCTATGACTGCTGGAAATAGTTTTTTTCTTTTTTGCCAGGGGACTTAAGCAAATGGATGTATTTGGGGGAACTCCTTTCTAGGTTGGCTCCCTAATATTTTGACACGTTCCCATTTGGAGGAAAGTAACTGCACTGTCCCTTTAGTTTCCCGCATATGGGCCCAAAATGCAACCCCGGATGAGTCACACTCCGAACGCGTGCAATTTGAGATGCAGCCATCCTTTGGTTTTCTTTGAATGGATCTAGTAGACCACTTCAACGCCAGGTTCTGATTGTGACTCGGACCGTGTTCCAGGGGGAAGCTTCGAGACCAAATAGCCCAAGAACTCCCCCGCCTTAAGAAAGTTCCGTGTGTTGATGGTGCCAGGGTTGTGGAAAAGTGTCTGAATTACTCAACACTCACACCTGATTTGTTTTTTTCTTTGAAGGGCAACCAAAAGGAGATCATTGACACGTTGTTGTACAGGTGAGGGCGCCAAGCGCGCCCACGGACTTCAGAGGCTGCCAGAAGAATTTGATGTCCAAGGGCACGTACCCATATATATATATATGTATATTTCTGGGAAACCCGCGTTTTATTTGAGATTTTCTAGGCTCCAGAAACACTTTTGGGACACATGTCTCACCAGCCTATGAACTTCTCGTGCTGGCAGTTTGGGCAGTTTCCCCATGTGCGTCATGGACTTGAGCCGTATGAGATTTTCTAGGCTCCAGAAACACTTTTGGGACACATGTCTCACCAGCCTATGAACTTCTCGTGCTGGCAGTTTGGGCAGTTTCCCCATGTGCGTCATGGACTTGAGCCGTATGGAGCGGCCATGGATCTTGTGCTTTTAGCATGGCTGAGGTTTTCCATTTGAACTTGTTGCTAGAGATCATGGCTGGGTCATTGTTGGTTAAACAACTGGCTTTTTCTGGGCCGGGGATGGCTCAGTCAGAAGCTTCACGAGCGACTTTTTGCAAATTCGCGTTTTCCAGCACCAGCCCATTTGCATAATTGATTCAGTCTAGTAAGGGGACAGCCCCAACATGGAGTCGGCCTTTTCCGGTTTAGGTATAAGACTCAACCAAGTCAAAGCCTTGAATGCTCGATTTGGGTCAACGAGCTGCTCGGAGGACACGCCCTACGATGGCGCGATGTTGCACTTCCAGCTCAAGGTGTCCAATTTCTACCCCATGAACCCACCAGAGGCTGTGGGTTTGGGGCAATGCACATAGCCTCGCTGGAACTGGTTGGTTCCCGGCAAAAGCCACCTCAAGGCCACCATGCGGACTGTTTCTTGATCTGGCTGGGGTCCCTTTGGCTTCGACACCAGAAAATCAATCCCATCCGTTTGCTTCGAGCATTCGAGAAAAACAGTCATGGATGCCAAACTCGACTCTACCCCCGACTCCGCGCTTTGCCGGGATGATTTTACACTTGAGACGCACTTCCATTCTTTGCCTGGTGCCTTTGAAGCAGGGTTTCAGTTTAGAACTCCCATTTACGTGAAGGTGTTTTGTTTCCCAACTTGTGTTTCTTAAAGCTATATACTCGGCTCGCGCTTCTCGCGGAAGCCTGGAGGTTTTTGTCCAGGCCATTTGTCTGCAGGGAGCCAGGGACCCTTGGAAACAGTGGGCATCCATAAGCTATGCGCCATGCTTGCAACACTTGCATCTTTGTTGCCAGGTTCACTGAAACGCGCCCAGGAAATTGGTGCTAGACAGCAAAGAAATCGAATCTGCAACAGGCGCACTGCCAGGTTCAGTTTCTCACCACCGACTCCAACAAGCTGCGCCTGCATCCGCAGCTCTATGCCGATGGCAAGGCAGGACCTTGGAATCGAACCAATGTGTGTGTGTGTGTGTGTGTGTGTGTGTGTGTGTGTGTGTGTGTGCGAGCGTGCGGGTTTTTCGAGGGTGCCCTTTTTGAAATGGGTTTAAAGAGAAGCCAAGGATAAACCACCATGTTTTGATGTCCCCTATTTTAGATATCACATGTGAGTTGCATTTTGGGGTGCGAGCAGTTGGGGATACTCCAGCGCGCATCTGAAACGGTGGAGGACCAAACAAGCAAACAAAAGCAGACAGGCAGGCAGAGACAATGACAGAGACGCAGACAGACGCAGAGGCAGACAAACAACCAATCAAATCAAACAGACAAACAAACACACAACACCGACCAGCAAAACAAATCAAGGGCTCCCCCCCCCTTCGAAAAAGAACAAAGTTATATACAATTTTGGGGGTCCCGCACCCCCTCCCCCCCCCCCCCTTGACGGGGATTATCGGCGCAACATGGGTGAGGTGTACATGGAATCAATGCTTCCATTTGCTTTATAATGTTTTTTTGTTATTTTCCCCTGTGGGTTTTAAAGGGAATCTATCTTTGTTTTTCCAGGTAACATTTTGGGGTAGGTGAATGCACCACCCATTTTAGAACCTGTTTTAGTGGTTGGATTGGGATGTTCACTGCGGGTAGGATCTGGCTTTTGACCCATGGCCATTTTTCCTGGTTGGTTTTAAAGGGAATCTATCACTGCTGGAAATATGTTTTGTTTTTTGTTCTTTCTAAAAATCAAATGGAAGATATAATTTCCTTACTTAAAAGGGTAGTCACCCCTTCACTTCATTGACAACCGAGGGTGGTTAATTTGCTGGTCGGAGAATGGTGCCTCTTGCGACTGGGCGAGGTGTGCCTCAGCATTTTGGGCACCTGGCACGGGCCGCGGTGGACCGCCTCCTCGTCCATCCGTACGGTGCTGCTGTCGATCCAGTCGCTGCTCTGTGAGGACCCCCTGAGGCGATTTTTGTTGGTTGGGGTGGGGTGGGGTGGGGTGGGGTGGGGTGGAGTGGAGTGGGGCGGGGTGGGGTGGAGTGGAGTGGAGTGGAGTGGGATAGGGGGGGGGTGGGGGGTGGGGTGGAGTGGGGTGGGGTGGAGTGGGGTGGGGTGGAGTGGGGTGGAGTCCCAGTTGCCCAGTGGCGCACGTTCTATTTTCCTTTTTTTGGGAAGGGTCCCCTTCAAACTCAACCAGCCAAAAAAAGGATGCCTTTTTTTTCCATGGCCACTGGGCATCTAACTAGTGCTTCAGTTTGGCAAAAGTTGGTGCTTCTTGCCTGTTTTAACCAGACGCTATCCGGTCAACTGCAGATCCACAAATGTTCACCGTCACCAGTGCGGTCTGTGTGGTAGGCGCGGGACGCTCTCCTTCAAATTTATGGTAATTCAAAGGCTTCTCGGGTCCAAAGTTGGCGGCACCCCTGCGCAGGTTTTATTTTGTGAAAATTCGGGGGGGGGGGGGGGGGGGGGGGGGGGGGGAAACGGCTGTACTCATTCTGACCTTGAAGAAGAGCAACTTTTGTTTGGCAAGTGCAGTGGTTGCGAAAGGTTAATTTCCACATTGCCTGCTGAGAAGGGGCTTAGAGGGCTTTCCTCCAATTCTGGCTAGTTTTTGTGTGTATTGGTTCAATGTCAATATGACTAGTCGCTGTGTGTTTCAGTTGATCCAGCTATATGGCCATGTGTCAAAATCACGCACCCCCAGTGAACATCCCAATCCCCATTAAAATAGACTAAAATGGGTGGTGGACCTACCCCAAAATGGTACCATTGGTTTTAACCCACAGCCATATACCAATTTAGCATCCACTGATCGGACCGTTCAAATAACGCCTTTCGAAGCATCTTCCTCGCCAGCCGCCTAAAACTTCAACTTCCCTTGACTAAGCCACTTTGTGACCTCTAGCTACTGCAATGTGAACCCCTCCCCCCAGTTTGTTTTCTTTTTTCTGAGGTTCAGTGTCAGTGACATTCGGTGTTTAAAGTTCGCCCCTCCCCCCCCATTTGCCCCTCCCCCCAGTTCCCTTAACAGTCTTAACATATTCAGAACTCGGTGTGTCTCAAAACTGGGGCGGGGGGGGAAAGGCGGGCGGGGACCCCGTGATACCGAGGGGTCCTTCCTGAAAGCCGCCTGACAGCCGCCAACTCTCCAGGGCGGGTGGCCTTAAACCCATCGAGTGCTTTGCCATGTGACAAGGGTTTTGGGGGTTGCAACAGAAAAATAGACCACAGAAAAAATGGTTCCCGTATTCGAACCTCTCTAGTGGAGGATCCAGAACAGGCACTGTTGACCCTCACCGAGATTTGGAGCACAACGCAAGCCTCTAGAATTAATCTTCCAATCTGGTTGGGAAACCAACCGAAAGCACCTACTCACCGAGATTCAGCCAACCTTCTGGATGGGGGTCATATGGGCTCCTTATTTTGAAGCACGCAAATCATTGATCTCAGATTGGGCCAGAGTCTATTTCGCTCATACGGCTTGGCAGGTGTGAGCCGGGCATGGAGGCTGCGTCAGACGAGCGGGTGGAGCTGGCGAATGTCTTTGTGGTCCACGAGTCGGTGAGAGTGGGCGTGCCTTGGCTACTCGAAGCTTCGCCATGCGGCTTCTTGCGTGGGTGTGAAACGTGGGTCGTTTGGAAAACTAGCTGTCAAATACTGTGGATGGACGAAATCCATTTCGCACCACCTAAGAAACCCAGGAATGATGATTCCCCACCCATGGTTTCAATTTGCGGGAGTATACTTTCTTCCCAATGTAAGTGGGCAAGGGGACTTTCAAGCGGATTATAGTTTAACCCCAGAAAGGGATGGACGGGTTTCCCACTCAGCAACACGCAGGAGCATCCCCAACACTCCGGGAACCTCCCGGAACCCGACTCCGTAGCTGTCGCTGCGGAAAAGGTTAAACCTTTTGAGGCTGCAACAAGGCCGTCGTAGTGCGGGTGCGAATCCATTGGAGGTCCTCATCCAAGACATGTTTCCTGGTCTCCGGTGATCTCGAGAGATATGGTGGACAGGTACGAGTCGATATTTCGGGATAGTCAGTACAGGGTTGGGGTGATACCTGTACTTGAGGCAGCGAACAAAACCTTGGAGTGTTTGGGGCTGGCGGCCCGAGCATCGAATGTTGGCGGGATCGGCACAGATGACCCCACCATGAGCTTTGCTGGGCTCATGGATTTGATGCAGTGGCCAATCTTTATCAAAGTCCTGGCTTAGGTTGCTCTTAGGGAGAGACTTGGACAACTCACAACCATGCCCCGCACGAATTCGCCTAGATCCTGCCGATGCTGGAGGAAAGTCCCACCTGGGGCACGGACGCACGGGGCCTAGTATGTTGTCTCTCACTTGTCCACTTGACGTGTTTCGGAAGATCATTCTAGGCGACAAGGGCGTACCGTTGTACCATGTCGGGATCATTATCATTCTAATGCACCACAAGCAGTGCGAACTTGTTTGGGGCCAATGAACTTGGGATGTGGGATGACCAAGAGAAGGCCAATGCCGATCTGAAGCCATTTCGCCCTGCCGCTGAATCTATGCGTTTGGTCAAAACTTGTTGCTTGCGTCAAATTCTCTGTGAAGTGGAACTATGTCAGATGGAAATCGGAGGATGTGGGTCAGCCCCAGAATTCTGTGGTTCCTTTGCCCCTGGGCCAGAAGATTGGATGAGCAGCCTCAACCCTCAGACACTCCAAAGAAAAGGGGGTATTGTACATCTCTCACCTGGTATTTGAAACCTTCTCTGATCAAATGTTCATCATGTGAGTGATCTTGTACCTTCCTCTTGTTCTTTTTTTTTTTGGGGGGGGGGGGGCGGGGGGGCGCCGTCCTTTTTCACATACCCTCCTACGCCCAACAAGGAATTGTCCTTACCCTTGAAAGAGAATACTAACCCCGAAGTCCTTGTTTGTTGGGGAAGGGCTATCTACACGTTTCCCGGGACCCGTGTGGCATGCGGTGGGCTGGGGCTGGGGGGAGGTTCGGTGGGGCTGAGGAGGCGGCAGAGGTGTTGAGCACCGCTGCCAGGGCCGGGAGCTTGAACTGGATTCACACGCGCAGAGAAACACATGGATTTGTAGCGTTGTTTGTTGTTGTTTGTTGTTTGGGCAAAACAACAATGATTGCAACACATATGTGTTTTTTTGGTAGTGGTGTTTTTTTGGTGCCAATAAAAACCGTGGTTTGTTTGTGTTTGTGTTGAATGTGTTTGTAAACAAAACACAACTTGGGTTGGGTGTTTATAGAAACAAGTATGTTTTGTGAAAACCCACGTTTTGTGAGGATACTCATTTGTGGGGTTGAGGTAGCCATCGAGGTTTGCCCTTTGAATGGTGGTTACATACTACTTTGGATCCTTTTTGGGGTTGGCTTTTTGAAAATCAAAAGGACACCCGAAGCCATTTTTGGGGATTGTGCTCCTTGCTAGTTTGTTCCCAGCCCCCTGCTGTGGATGGTTGCGAAATCCCTTCGCACAATTTTACAACCATGGGAAGCCATTGTTTGTTGGTATTTACAGGGAAATCATTATTCCAGGGATTGTTCATCCACCGCAGATGTCCTTTTTAGGTTACTTTGGTAGAAATACACGGCACTGATTGACCTGGTTGCTCCATAATCTACTGGGGCCATCTGTTTGTCAAACGCACATCTATGCACATGGTTGTATGCTCTCTTTTTATTGAAATGGTGTCCACTTCACCTTGCTGGGAAACCGAAAGGCAAACCCACGAATTTAATGGGCCCGCGCATGTGGGATACTGATACGGGCATGTGGGAAACTGGTTTTGGGATGTTTCGGTTCAAGCAAACATACGTTTTAGGCAAATACAAGTTCCCTAAGGAAACACACAGATGGGGTACTGCTGTGATGGACAAACTCCACTTTGAAGAAATAATCGCTTTGACGAGCCAAGTCTTACTGCAAGACATCCAAGCATCTTGTAATATGTGCGGGTACTGTGTATTGGCGGCACGCCTTGTTGTCAGGTCTTCTGAGACTTTACGTTGGGGGATGCACGCCCAAGTAGGGTGGGTTGCGTCAACATGTTTGTACACTTAGATGTCTTTGGACTTAGCTAAGTGGTTGCCGACTGGGGGACTTGTTGCCATAGAGAGCCAAAACCACTTGGTCCTCTTTTACCCCTTCTTGTGACATTTGGCAGAGGAAGCACAGAAGTCCCGTGAATCGCGGCTGAACCGAGTTCGACTTGACCAGCACTCGGCAGAGATGTTATCATCCGAGCTTGATTTTATCTGTTCCGTTTGACTGCAATTGAATAGTAACAATAGCAGGAGAGGAATAGCACAGCCAATCACGTGGTCCAATGGTCGCAGCAATCGTGTCTTTGAACTGGTGTTGTTCGTGGGATTGCGAGGCATGGCTTGTGTGTTTGCAAGGACCCTGCGGAAACGTACGGGCTCGGGCATTTCATTGAGACACAGAGACGCCGTATTCAGAGACGCTGAGCTGCAGGCTTGCGAAGCTGTTTGGTTGGCATACGAATCTGCAGGCTTTGGTCCAAACTTCGGGGGGATTAGGAACGTTGCGAAACCATCACCAATGAGCGTCGCGCCTTGGATGCCTTGGAAGTCACTGTCGCGCCAGAAGAATTGATACCCTCCCACCAACTAAAATGGAAGTGCAAAAAGGCCGTTTCCAAGAGAAAAGTAGTCTTTCTACAGGGGTCTGTGCACCAACCCATATTAGCTGGTGGGAGGGTAAGACGACAAGAGTCGCTGCGTAGCATGAGGCCAGAGGATGGCCACAAGCTGTGGAGATCACTTGTACCCTAGGTCCCCCACTAGTGCCCTTTTACCCTTTTGTGGGGGAGGGTTCCCCTACTAAAATAGACTACAGAAAAAAAGGGTTTACCCTTATTCTAACCTCTCTACTGGAGGAGCTGTTGGGGCGAATCTGGGCTTTCTGGAATTCGGATGCCGGAGATTTGATTGGGAGCCCGCAGCGTTCGGATGCCACGTATGTTTCTGCAACTGTCGGAGTACCTGGGGCCACAACGAGCGAGCCCCATGAAATTTGCTTAGGATTTCCTGAAGTTAGCTCGGTGAATTCTAGTGGCGAAGACGCAATGTTTACCTTTAATCCTTTGCAAGAGTGTTCAACCAAGCAGTCAGCGTGAGGAATTTGACAGGTTTATGTGGCTCCTGTTGTTTTTTTAGTGGTTATGATTGTGGCGTCCATATCCTTTTAATGAAGGGCCCCCCCAAGCTTTTTGTTTATTTTGCCGAGACAAGGTTCCGACCTAATTATTGTTTTGGGGGTGTAGTCGTGCTTGTGGTACTTGTAGTATTGCTCGGAGTACTTGTAGTACTGCTTGCAAGTAGTACTGCTTGTAGTACTTGTAGTTTTTTTTCTTGAACAAGTGCCTGGGCTGTCAATTAATATGAACCTTTGAAGGCTGCTGAATACTGCAATGGCTGCAGTGGCTGCAATTTCCGCTGGCACATTTCTGCAGAGGTGTTTGAAGATTTGCTGCCTGAGCTTTTGCTTCTTGAATCTGGCTGCGTTCTGAATCTGCTTGATTCCTGGATTTTTGGCCTTGGGGCAGCTGGTGAATTATGCTAATGTTTTTTTTTTTTGAGTGGTTTGTTGAGTGGGGTTCTGGCAGGTCGGCCTGGGAGAACAACAAGTCGATTTTTGTCGATTATCATCTTGAAGTGGCGCCTGCTTAAGTTGGTATTCGGCGCAAAAAGGGTTTGGCTTGCCCATAGTGTTATTATATTCCGGACCCATTTTATAAAAACCTAAGCGGGCATTGGTGGTTTCCGGGGGACTTCGTTTGTCGTCCAACCCTCCGTTCTGAACAGCGCACTTTGTCCACCGCGATCGAAGATTGCGAAAGCGTACCTGTTTGGACATGACCCTTTTGCAGAGGTTTGCCCAGTGAAATGAGCCACAATCAAAACCCGGGGATTGATGAAGGTTAGTAAGGGGCAGTCCCAGCCAGGAATAGTTGCGGCCGCCTTTCTAATTCTTTACATGGTTCTGGGTTCACCATGTTTGTACCAGGTTTTGATTGTGACTCAAATGATCTTCACCCTCACCGTTTGCCTTATTTTGCTTTGAACTTAAGCTGGGGTCCCTGTTCTTCTATGGCCTCTGGGAATTTGTTGAATTAAATGTGTCTTGCATAGGGCGGCGTCCACCCAACGGACCTAACAGGCTGCTGTGGCGCTTCTTAGGCCAGTGACTGAATCAACATTGAGCCCCCTAAATTTGGGTACGTTTTTTTGGAGGGTATCCTTTGAAGGGTTGGTTTGAAGAGGGGTAATTTGGATTCCTATCCATTTGTACCTGGCTTCCTTTGCTTTCCTCTTTGAAGCTCGTTTAGTTGTTAGCAAAAGACTAGCGCAGATGTTCACAGACTGACATGCCAACAGGAGGTTCCCACTCAGACATCCCCACATGTGCCAATTGCAATTCAGGTGGTGTCCTGTGCTCGTTTGTTCAGCATTCAAAGACGAGGGATGCCCTTTGCGGCATACGTTCTGGAGTTTGCGAACGATGCACCCGCCGTTTGGGGATGCATCCAAGGCAACCAACAGCATGACTCCATTATATATCACTATAAGCGTCCATCACACAAGACACAACCTCACGTGTTTCTCATGAAGCCAAACATTTGAGAAGCTCCTTTTGTCAGAAATCCCTGAATTGGTGATTTGGGTTGGTGGTTGGGGAGTTGAATCTGGTTATACAGTTGGAACTACCCTGAACCACCACCAATCCAAACCAGAAAAGCTGACTTGGGTCATTTCTGGTTTGCCTCGCACAGATATCCGTTGGACACAGGCAATGGAGGCAAACCTGGCCGAGGTGGGGTTGACTCCGCTTCGAAGCTGGGGGGGGTGAAAACGATTCCACAGATCCGGGGCGATTCCAAAACGAGCCGATAACGCGATGAGGTCCGTCCTTGGGGATTCCTTGCCTCCGGGTTAGGATCATTGAAGCAAAGGCAGATCAACTTGAGCCCTCCATCAGCGCAAATCGTCCCATCAATTTTCAAAGCCGACCTCAGGTTAACCTTTTGGTTCTGGGTCCTTTGGGCAACTGAGTGGTGTATCCTTGCAGTTGCTGCGTCCCATCACACTCCAGTTGTTCAGTGCACCCGTGTGCCGCTTTTGTGGCCTCGCGAAAGGTGGTGAATCCCAAGGGTTCCGATGGTGTTTCCACCGTCGGGGCTGGGCCAAGATCATTGCCAGAGCGGTCCATGGTTGTTGTTGGGAAACATTTTACATGTTTGCTTATTGTGGTTTAGTGGGAAATCCAACCACTTAACTGCTTTTTTGTTTTTTCTGCTCCCCTTCCAACGTCAACCAAGGGTCAAGCTGGATACTGTCCGCACATGCAAGAGGAAAGTCATTAGCACCCGCAAGCTGCGGATTTAGGCCCAAGCTTGAAGACATGTGGGCCGCTTCTTATCTTGGAGTCTTTCTTGCCTGAGGCATCAGGGCTTTCCGTATCCTGCAAGAAAGAGAAGTGTCCGTGTATTGAAGCTCTGGTCTTCTTGTGGGTATCCCCAAAACCACGCACACATGGCTGTGGGCCAAAACCACCACCCATTTTAGAACCTATTTTAGCGGTTGGATTGAATCGGATGTTCACTGGGGGCTAAGCGATTTGGCTTTTGAGAAGCCCATGGCCACACCTTTCGCCCGCGTCTTCGCGCCAGGTCCTTTCCGCAAAGCTGCTGGAAGCCCGAGACGCCCAGCGGCCCAGAGACCATTTTCGCCGAGGGCGCGCTGGGCGTGGCTTCCGAAGATGTGGGTCAGTGGTGGTGGATCACTCGAGAAAGAAAAAAACACTTGTGGTTGAGTAGAAAAAGACATATCCTATGTATTAGGGGGTTAGTCTTTGGGAAGCCCTTTTGGTTGTATCACAGTGGATTCCATTTCCCACAGCCCTGGGTGTGTCTTTCTCGGGTACCGAAAAGGTACTCTTTGTCGGGCTGGTTCAAAGAAAAACCACAGGAACACACCACTTTTGGGGTCTATTTTAAGACGCACGAA